GGCGTTCAACGTGTTTGAACCCCTCCGGCTGCTCCCTCCGCAAAGGACTTGGCCCCACCGACTTTCAGAAGACCTTCTGACCTCAGCGGCTTGTCGTTCATCGGGCACTGGCAGGCCTAGGAAGGTCTGCGAGCATTGCCCAGGCAGAAGCCTCCAATCAGATCCCAGCTCAGCTCCTCCCAGGCACTCGTTTGCCATGCTGGGATTGCTGGGATTGCTGGTGGATGTGATGACTCCACTGTTTTGAGGGCACCGCATGGTGTGCAGCTTGCAGAGCCAGAACATCTTTGGGTTTTGCAGCCCAGCCGCACGCAGCAGTTCATTCGGGAGCAACCTCCTTGGCACAGCTTTTGTTGTTGTCACAGTCTGAGAGCTCTGGAGGAAGCATTCTGCAGCGAGATGGGAGGCTGATGGTATTACGTGCTTTCAGGCTGGGGCTGTTTCACAGACGTGAACCTGCATGCAAAGTGCCAGAGCATCGAATGCATCAGTTTCAAAGGATGCACAGTCTTTGCTGACATTTTGGCTTTCAATGCCCAAGACGACACGAAGCAGCTTCTTATCTCCACTCGCTGACTGTTAAATCGCACTCTGGCACTGACCTGCGCATTGGAACTGAACATCTAAGGCTTCATTGCTCAAGAAGCCATCAGACAGCCCATCAAAACTGCTGGGGGGCACTTAAAAGTGACTCGGTTACTGTTCGGATTGCACTCACCGAGTATGTGTTGGGGGCGGTCTGCTGTGCCTTTGTCACACTCATGCTGAAAGCTGCCGCTGAGGCCCAGAGCTTCGTCCCTCAGCTTCACTGGAAAAGCATCGGCCAGCTCTTGACAGCTCCGTGCACAATGCACAGCAAGTCCCGTCGCTTTTCTCAGGTTCTTGCAGTAGATGGCGGCCCGGTTTTCCTGCACCGGGAGCTGCTGCTCAGTACCATGCCAACTGATGATCGGCTCGCTTCTCAGTGCTGCTCTACACGCATGCCTTCAAGCAGCACTGTGTGATTGCCATGCGGACAGAATCTGTACATGGGCGTGGGATACGCGCGGATTGTCTGCATCCCACTGTACGCATGATGCCGTGCGATAAGACCGTGTGCAACATTACGCAAAAAAACATCCATGCATCCACAGCTATCCTGTCGAAGATGGCCCCAGGCCTCCCCGGGACCGTCCTAGGGGCATCTTCGGGGGGGCACCCTGTGGTGCTGTCACAGGTCTTCGGCAGCGCCAGCGCTGCGTGGCCGAAGCTGGGCGTTCTACGCCTCCGTGTCTTGGACGGCCTGGGTGAGGAAGTGCGATGGGGACAAGTGAAATTGTTAAAGTTCAAAGCACAACGAGAGAGAATGAAGGAGGGGTCAAACAAGGTGTTTGTTGGTCTGCTCTGCGCTTGGAGGTGTGGCCTCGCCTTCAGCGGGCTGTTGCGCGGCTCCTTCAACATAAATCCTGGCGCAGCTCGGTCACAGTATCCTCACACCAAAGAAGCAGCCAGCAACTATTGGTAGCAACACACATGCTTCTACTGCAAGTTCTGGCATCAGAGGTTGGATGCGTGGCACGCCTCCCACAGCAACGGCTGTACAGAAGGGGAGGTGCCCCAGCAGCCCGGAGACAGGGAGCCTGTGGCTTGACAGCAAAGCTGGAGTTCTCGCATGGGCCGGCTGTCTAAGGGCCCATCTCCAAGGAGCACAAGGCATGGGTGTTGGTGCATATGGCGGAGAGGAGTATGGCTGAGTATGGTTGCTCGAATGGAATCGCCGTACTTGAGGACCACTGTTGTATAACATCTTTGTGGTTGATGTGGCGGTGGACCAGGGAATGAGACCTTGGCCATGAGCTTATCTCTGCTTTTGGCCTCCCCCGAGCTTGACTTCCACAAATTGTGTAAAATCAGTCTCCTTCCTGTGTCCGGACAATTTATCTGGACAGGCGATGGTAACGGGGGGGCCGGGGGTAGGCACGCGGGGCAAGTAGGCAAGTGCAAGTGAGGGGGGGCAAGCGGGGCAAGCGGGGCAAGTGGGAGAAACCGGTTGGCGGCGCAGATAGGGCATGGGGAAAGTGGCACATTTCGGTCTCGGCTTTTCGGCCAGAGCAAGTGGGGCAAGTAGCATCATAAATGAGTTAGTGGTTCCGGTTTGCACCTAGCGGTTCCCGATTGCACGCGCGCTGTACAGGTATCAACATTGACTGTGTTTTTTCGCTCAATGGAGAGTAGGGGCCCAGGGGCATTCATGCTTATTTATTGTGGCGGAAGGGTTGGTTGTCGTCGGTATTCGGGATGACATTTTGGATGCAACTGTTTACTTGTGGGTTGCATCCGCAATCGCGCATAGCTGCTTCTTCTTGTGAGGTTTTCGTTTCATGCAGCCCAACGTGTTTCCTGGCCGCTTCTCCATGAAAGCAAGGCTTCTGGACATGTACCCGATGCCAGACCGCCCACCATTTCCAGAGGACAGCCAACATGTAATGACGCATACCCCAATTTTACGGAATGATGAATGCAAGTCCTCGAAAGCTCGCAGGAGATTGTGGCAACGGGTGTGTGGAAAGCTGTAGCAGAGGCGTCAAGGGCTTCTTCCTGGCAGCACAGGGTCACTTGTAACCAGTGTGTTTCTCCTCGCCACTCAGCGACAAATCCTGGAGGATGCATGCCGGCTTCTTCTAAAGCCCCTGCTGGGACGGCTGCCAGCCAATGAAAAGGCTGTTGATGCATGTGCTTTGCTCACGATTTTGTTTGTTCTACCACTGCGCTGGAGCATTTTGACCCCAGCACTTTCTGTGTAGCGCGAAGATGACTTCTCTTGCATGGTTTCAAGTGGAGGTGGCAGCTTCACTGGGTGGCTTGGTGGCACATGCAGACATACAGGACTCGGACCAGTTTTCGCTTGGCTTCTGGCGAAGCTTTCGAAGAATGTGCATTGGCTGAGGTGACGCTAACTTCGTGGATTTGTGCCACTGCGATACGTGATTCGTTGTGTCCGCGCAAAAAGCGTTGCAGCCATTTGCACCTTCTCGTGCCAAAGCTGCCCTGCCTGTATATGTTTGGACGCTGCCCCCAGTTTCAGGCAACGAAGCTGCCAAGTGCCGATTCACCTGAGTGTCTTTGTGCACAGAATCTTGTCCGCAGTATTTTGCAGTGAGAATGCAGCTTTGTCATGCCGGGCTTTGAGTGAGTTCCGAGGAATGAAGTTGGCTCGAATGTTCAGGACCGGATGACATGTCATTTTGCTGAGGAGGTTGGTTGCGGTTGCAGGCCAGACTCTCTTTGACACAAGTGGCAAAGCAGGCTCCAATGGTCAGATGCTTATGCCAGTTTCACAACAGACTTGCCTTTGCCACTACGCCTTACCAATTTCGAAGCTGCACGTGCTGAGGCAGCTACACCCCCTCCATTGCCTGACGTCAAGGTTACATGCATCCTGTGCGATGAGGGTCATCTTGAACATGTTGCTAGTCGCCTTTTCTTAAGCCCTGGGGGACAACAGTGGCATGTCGTGGGCAACTTTCTGGGTGACCGTGCCTGTTGGACATTCTTGACAGGTGCCTCCGTCTGTGCCACTGCCAGCCTTCGGATTGGGCCCCACACCGCCCACATCTGCCGGCTTACTGGGGTTTCAGCTTGGCTGTGAGGTCCACCCCCGCCTCCACCTCCGCCGGCTATTCCTTCACTCCCTCCTGTTCCGAACGTCGGTCCAGAGGACGCTTTCTTCTAGCAAAGCATATTGTGCTGAGTAGCTGCAGCCAAGCTGCAGGACATCCCGCTGCAGAGCATGGAAGGCTTCCCAAAGCTGGGCTCGTGGCCTTGCGCGTTTGAGCGTTTCATGACTCGAAGGTGAGAACACCAAATCCTGGTACACCGTGCCTCCCAGCGTAGCAGCCATGGTGAATAGCACCGTGACGCAGCAGCGGCCTCTTTGCGTCAAGGCAGCACCAATGTCTGAAAAACCCTTGAGCCTGCAGCAAGGTTGCCGGTGGCATATCCGTCAGCTGCTGCTCAAGCTCGCTCCCTGTGACCCGTTTTTTGCATGCGGCCCGTGACGAAATTCGTTGCGCTTTCATAAGGCGATGCCGACTGCAAACGACCTCATGCCAAGGTGGGCCTGCATGCGCAACATCGCTGTGCCCGTGCTTCCAGTAAGCCTGCTCAATTTGGGAGTAGAGAAGTGAGCCACGTGCCACACACTGCTCAACGAACACGGTGGTAGATTGGCTGTGATGCGATCTGGGATGCCACATCGTTTACCTGCTGACAATTGTTTACGATTGTTTTCGGCATCGTGTAAAAGCACGATGCTTCGTCCTCGCTGTTGGTTGGCATCAGACATACTCGGAGATGTCCCTTCCGTTGCAGGTTCCTGCCCGCACCCGTGGTGCCTGCTCAAGTGCAGGCCGAGGCAATCCTTTTGTAGCATGCAGCCGGGGGGACAGTTTCGCTAGGCATGTAGGCGCTGGGTGCCTGGTCATCCTGAACAGGCTGTCAGGCACACTCTGCAGAGCCAGAGCCCCAGAATGTGAGTTGAACTTGGCTTAGTTGAGCTGTGATCTCTGCGCACTGGAGACTGGCCAATGCCGCCCACGCCGGTAGCTGGTCCAGCTGCTGCTGCTCCAGCACCAGCTCCAGCTGCAGGAAACCAGTTCATACTGCGAGCCATGGCAAGTGTCAAGTTGTCATGCTGCGTGGCGACCTGTAGAGGCTTCCTGCAGAAGACAAGACGACAGGCAACACGGATACGTAGAGAGCTCCGCAATTCTGGCATGAAGTGCTGCGCCAAGAAGCGCCACTGCCGCAGGCAGAGAAGCGCGACGACCTTATTCTCACTCAGGCACTCTGGTTGAGTATTGCGGCGGCTTGTGCTTGACTCAGGTTCAAGCCACTGCCCTTGCGCGCACAAGTGACTCCGGCTTGGCTGGTCGCGGAAAAACGCCTGCCTGGATGTGCGCGCTGATCACTGGTGACCAGACTCTTTTTTTCCCTGCGGAGATGGAACTGGTGCTTCCTAGGTGCCATGTGTGGTGGAGTGACCCTACCGGCGACATGCGATTCAGGCCCTGTGTGCTCATTGTTCACTTTGCTGCGTATTGCGGTGGTGCAAGCGGAACATGCATGGTGCATGGAGCGCGGCCTTTTGCGCCACATGCCCTTTGCTCGAAGTTATGCTTGGGCTTGTACCCAGCGCCGTCGCTTTCACTCTACGAATCGGCCGGATTATTCCGGTCTTTTGAGATGCGACTTCAAGGACGTGTGCGGCCAAGCTTCCGCACCCATGATCACCTATGTGCTGCAATGCATTTCGGCCAATCAATCAGTGGTGTTGCAACTGCAGTGGTTTGCAGTCTCTCAGTCTCTCAATGTCTGTCAGTCTCTCAATGTCTCTCAGTCTCTCAATGTCTGTCAGTCTCTCAATGTCTGTCAGTCTCTCAATGTCTCTCAGTCTCTCTTTCGCTGTGCTGTGAACGTTTTACGGTCACCCACCATGTAGCCTTGACAAGTTCAGCGACCGCTCTCTCCGCAGCTTCCGCGGGCTTAGAGCTTGACGAGGATGATTCGCAGACTTGACCAGGCCTGGCTGTGGCATAGGATAGGGCGCGCAACTGCTGTTTTCACATCACATCGCGCCACAGGTGCCAATGGTGCCCTGGAGTGCGCTGCTGCTTTGGCTGCCCCTCGCAGCAAGTGAGCCGTGGACAGAGGACGGGACATGTCGAAACATCTCTTGGAATCTTGGTGGACGTTCTGCACGATAGAAAATTAGAGACATCTCGTGAGCCACTGTGAGGATAACGCAGCGTGGAACATCAATTTCCAAACAAGCCATGAACCGCTGAACTACTGGGGACAGTGGCAGAATCACACGTATTTTCCATCTCCGCCGGACTGGCGCAGCCTCGTCATTTACCAGTGGCTCCGCTTAAATAAACTTTCGCTCCTGAGATGCTGCTGTCCTGCACAGCGAACCTTGTGATGGCTGAAGGTTACTCACGGACCGCTTCGCAGATGGTGACCCGCATAACAACGAGCTCCATGCGGGAGGGTTTGACGTTCGAGACACATGGCATGGCAATAGTCCGCGACTGTTTGTCTTGTTCGTTCCAAGACAACCTGGACACCTCTGGCACAACTATCCAAGGACATGACGTTTCGACACGGTGGTGATTTTGCAGGATTAACAAAGAAACTGAACTATATCAAAGGCCTTGGATGCAACGCAATTTGGATCTCACCTGTATTCCAGATGCTTGGCAGCCTCAATTCATCAAGCAAACTGTTGCGTCCTTCCATTCACAGCTGGTCCACGTCTGAGTGCACAGGAATGGCTACAACTTCTACCATCAGTACGCGCAGCTCGATTTCACAGTTCTGGACCGTCGATTGGGTACAGTTGAGGAGCTCCGCACCCTAGTCCATGAAGCGCACGCCCTGGACATGTACGTCGTCATCGACGTTGCTCCTCGGCACAACTTGGCACAACCTCAGTCCCCTTATTTACTCGATGGAGGGTAATCACGACACACTCGTTTGACTGCATCATGTTGTGCCCGAGGTGATGAACCACATGGTGACTTGCATGGATGCTAGTGTCTGGTCGTGTTGCCCCATGTGTCTGGCGCACTTGTGACTGATGCATGTTTGCGTTGGGCAATCCAACAGTCGTGTGGATGTCTCAGGGATGCATCACAAGGGTTCCTTTGGCACTTTGGCATCTTTTGCTGTGGCACAATGGTGAGGATTGCCCGTACGTAAAGATTGTGGGATCGCGTTGTGGTCTGGCAGCTCGGGATTTGTGGCCAAAGTCCGTATCTGCGGGGCGGGGTTGCAAGGTGTGGGAAAAGGCTTTGGCTTCACAGTCTTCGGTGGACCCGGGCCTTTCCAGAGTTTTTGCTGAATGTTGGACCAAATTGCCAGAAAGCATGTTTGCTGAATGTCACTGGAAGACTTGCTTGTTCCTGTCAACCCATGCTCGTCGACTCCATTGACCCGCCGCACTCATTTTTGGAGTGTGTGCTGCGTACTCATGCATCAGCTCAGGCGAACGAGTACTACTTCGAGGGCCATGCAAAGAGCCAGGCCACGTGGCGATTCCACGAGGATGGTGGAAAGCGCGAGTACAAACTGAAACCGCGAGCAACCCAGGCCCTGCTCATGCCCTGCTCATGCCCTGCTCGTGCCCTGCGCTTCATGTTAGATGTATTTAGACGTGTTGGAATGGGGGATCAATTACGGAGCAGTGACCAGCTTGACAAAGCTACAGGCGTCCCATTTTTGGGGCTTCGCTTGGTGTGACGGCGATGCCCTTTGGCAAGCCTTTGGCAATGAACCGACGGGCATCCTTCAAACGCTGGATACTTGTGAAGATAAATGCCAGTCCGATCCTGATTGCTTCTATTTCCTCTACAAGAATGACCCGGGCTCGTTGAGCACATACCACTGTGCAGGCTTCAGGACTTGTAGCTCTCCCACCCCGTACACTGATGGTCAGGCACACATCTACACAAAGTGGGTTTGGCCCGTGAAGGCCGTGCAAGAAGCAGCGGATGTTTGGTGTGGTGGCGGTGGATTATGGCAAGAATACGGAGCTGAGGCATCGGGGCTGCTTGCTAGCCAGGATGCTTGTGAAGCTGCGTGTGCCTCTGACTCATCTTGCCAGTTCTACCTTTGGAAGGACGACCCTGCTGCAAACACGCGCTTCCACTGCGCTGGCTTTGCAACCTGTGCCGAGGCTGATCAAACTCCATTCGGGGACGGTGATGCTTCCAGGATTTTTCGAAAGAGGACCAAAGCGGAGAGGGACAAGGACGGCTTGTACCACACCCCTGCAGGACGGCAACCTTATGCCGACTTCTGGTACAGCAACTCGTGGGTCTCAGATGCACAGTACAACGGGACCTTGTATGGCCAGTGGGGCGAAAGTGCAACAGACACGGGCTTTGGCACGTACATTGATTCAGATTTTCACCACAATGGGGACCTGATTGACTACCACGACCCTTGGGAGATCAACCTTGGGAAAATCTACGGAGTGATGGACGATTTGCGCCTTGAGCAGGACCATGTCCAGCAGAAGTACATAGCCATGACCAAAGCATTAATTGAGACCGTTGATGTAGATGGCTACCGTGTGGACACCCCAATGCAGGTGCCATTGAACTTCTACAAAGTCTGGGCACCAGCCATGAGAGCTCATGCCAAGAAGCTGGGCAAAGAACGTTTTGGGATCTTCGGAGAGTTTTTTGTTAGCCCAGAGCGCTATGCGACGATGACTGGTCGGGGTCGAGACAACACCATGTACAACCAGGACCGGTTCATCGACGACATTGCTACCCTGAAAGGTGGCATTGTCTATCCATATTATTGGTATATTTTTACTGCGATGGTGTACCAGCGCCCCGAGTATGCGGATGGTCTTCCATTAGCATACGCTGAGGAGAACAAGATGATTGACACGTATGACCCAACCACAGACCGTCACGAGTACGCGATGTGGACGTTCTGCAACAATCATGACAACTGGCGACTGCAAAGTATGACAGGCAAACAGCACTTCACCATGTGCCTTGCAGTCATTACCTTCTGGCCGGGAGTTCCTCTTCACTATGCAGGCGACGAGCAGGACTTCGACACTCCGGGCAGTGCTCTCGATGGCTGGGCGCGAGAAGAACTCAGCACATCCCTGGCGTGGCGAGCAGTTCGTACACAGGAGGAGGGAAACCCAGCAGACAAAGATAACTTCGACATGACCAGCCAAACATACTTGTACATTAGCCGGCTCAATGCTCTGCGACGTGCTTACTTCGGAAGCTTTGGAGCAGACGAGTGTGACCAAGTCCAATTCCCTTCATTTGCGACCCCAGATGTGCTTGTCTTCGTGCGTGGCTGCAATGCCTCAAAGAAAGTTCTTGTTTTTGCAAGTTTTCACACCACAGAGAACAGATCCGCATCCATTGATGCGCTTCCATGGACGACGGGGACGCGATTGGTTGACTGCCTTGTAAGCCAAAATCCAACAGAAGTAACTGTTTCTTCAGGAAACGTCGCTGTCTCACTGGGCCCTTTGCAAGCCCTGGCATTCGTCGAGGACGTGGCCACAGTTCCTCCTTCAATCATTGATGTCTCGCCAAGGCATGGCTCCACAGTTTCCACAGTGGCACTAAATGGCAACCTGACAATCAGCCTGCGCTTCGATCGCAGCATTGACTCGTCAATGGCCTCCAACATTCGATTCGACAACATAACCGGAGGCTTTGAGTGCGAGGGGGATATGTGCATGCGAGAAGTTCCCATGGCATCGCTGTCAGATGGCTATCATACTCTTGAGGTCCCAGCAGGGGCAGCAACTGCAGATGGAATGCAGTTCCATGCCAGCTTCGAATCGTTTTTCTTGTTGGACAGGCAGAAGGGTGCTGTGGCAAACCCGATCCATGAGCAGCCTGGACTCATCTGCAACTTTGGAAAGCAGCTCTGCCACAATGCAGTTGGGGCAACTTGGTTTCGGGCTCAGAATGTCGGCGGGAATTGGTCGGAATGGGGACCATACGCTTCAATTACCGATTGGGAGGCTCAGCTGAACGTTCCAGTTCTTGTTCAGTATTATTCCCAATTGAGTGCCAGCTTCATTGTGGGCGACTGCCTTGCCCAGTCTGGCAGGCGTTGCCATGTGAGCTGGCATGAGCGAATGTTCCTGCGGGGTGGCTTGAACGACTGGGGGAACTCGGACGAAGGCCGCATGATGTTGATAAGTTCCTATACGTGGGCATCCAACATCACTCTGAGCAAGTTTGTTCGCGCACGGTTCACTCCCACGAATGATTGGTCGAAATCTTATGGATCTCATCCCGTGCGTGAGCTGCTGTACAATGTCCCGACCTTCGATCCGCGCCACAGGACCTTCGACATCGTGCCAACAAAATCCGGTTCTGAACCGTGCCGAGAATGGATGGTGAATCGTAGTTTGTGGTCAGAACACGAAACTATGGCGTCGGGTGCGGAGTTTGCGATCGACTTATGGCTCAGTCCCCTGTGCACAGCAGCGCCCCCGCAATGTGAGCCA